AACTGTGGCCCCTGTATTATGCCTCAAAAGCTTATGTCTGAATTAAAACTACCAAGCTAACCCACTCTTTAGAAATAAGACTCAAAAAAATGTAATAACTGCAACTCAGCCTATGCTTCGATGCATTTCTCAAAGTTCAGATGTATGTAGACTGGGCTATAACATGATGGAATCTCTGAATTAAATATTGCTAACTTCTATTACAACTTTGCAGGGCAATGAGTTCCATCATTATTCTTCTTCAAAATAATTTCATCAGTTTGGGATTTCTCTTTTCAAAGTAACTGTGTAACTTTTGGTCTTTTAAGACTGGGGAAGGCTAGGGGAAGGGGGAAGCCAAAGAGTTTGTGTTCTCTAGGGCACTAGTTATTTCATTTTATGGAATGATCTCAAGTTGTTTCTCTGAGGCAACTGATGTGATTTCATTTCACAGTCCCCTCCTCCCTCAACCCTAAGTTCACAAAAGCTCTTTCTCATATGTCAGGCTATTGATAATTTTCTTTTCTCTTTTTTTAACCTGCATTAGTTATAAGCAACATTTACATTTAGAGTTGGTGGTATCCTGTGTGATTTTTCATTAAAGCATAAATCTTTGTAGTCACTATCACATTTCTTCAGATGAACATTTTGTTGACACTTTAACAGGAAACAGACATCAGGCAGTTGATCACATGATCACTAAGTCTCTCTATAAGTTATTAAAGTTACTTCATAAGTATTAAACTGTATTTTTTTGCCATAAACTGTGAATTAACTGGAATTTATCAACAAGTAAGCACTATCTATAATTTCCAGTTATTTTTGGCACTCCATAGCTAGAGTTCTTGTTTGTAATACAGTAAAAAATACTGGATTTTAATTAAAGGCTTTTGGCTACTGATGCTTCAAATTCTATTTTAGCCTTTAATTTCCTTTTTGGTGTCTACTGAGGTGTCCTCATTTTCCAAAGGAAAAAAACCCACTTAATTTCCATTTTGATGTCTACTGAGGTGCCCTCATTTTCCAAAGGAAAAAAACCCACACTTCATCCTGATGGGTTTCATGGTGAAAATTTAGAGAATACACTCTTCCATTAACCAGTTACATCTTTAAATTGTTTTCCCTAAAAAAGAATGACTTCACTTACCCAGTGATCCCAGAGTGTTAGCCCATAATGCTCCTTGTCTTGTCAATTTTGATGTCTACTGAGGTGCCCTCATTTTCCAAAGGAAAAAAACCCACACTTCATCCTGATGGGTTTCATGGTGAAAATTTAGAGAATACACTCTTCCATTAACCAGTTACATCTTTAAATTGTTTTCCCTAAAAAAGAATGACTTCACTTACCCAGTGATCCCAGAGTGTTAGCCCATAATGCTCCTTGTCTTGTCACCATATTTAGAATTCTGTAAAGGAGTTAAAAAGTTATGAAAACTTTTAGCACTGTTTACATCAAAGCAGAGTTTATGACAGTAGGTCTTGTGTGTTTACACTACACATTTGATTAATAAAACCGGAATAGTGAACCCAAAACTCTCTAAAGGCAAATGTTAAGGTAAAGCAGGCAGGTTGCTAATACATAACCTCATCAAAACTCAAATCTCTTCCTTTCAAATTACTCTGTAACCCTAGCTGTTCCTTATGTAGTGACTACACATAGCTACTGAGAATGACTGACACACTTAGGCTGAGGTAAGTGGGCAAAAGATCTCCGAGAAAGCCAAACTGCTCTTCTAGAAGGTGCAAGCAATACAGGACTGAGCAAACGTAACTGGGCAAAAGATCTCCAAAAAAGCCAAACTGCTCTTCTAGAAGGTGCAAGCAATACAGGACTGAGCAAATGGTGTGGGTATTACAAACAAGCCCAAACTAAAGCAAGGCAGGAAGTGATCTTTTGCACTTCCATTTGTCCAACTCAGCACCCACCAAAAGGTCAGGAACCCTGGCTACGTGTGTCTGTATGCTTCCAGACTAGCACTAAAGAGGAAAAGAAAACCTTTAGTGCACTCTCAGGGAAGCACAATGCCACTTCTTTCTGGCATCAGCTGTCTCCAGAACGGTGACAACAACAGCCAGAAGAAATGACTGACTTTTATCTCCCAGCAGTGTAACACTATCACAGGCACAGTATTGCTCTGGACAGCTGACTACCACTGGAACCTAGTTTATCACTTCAAGCAATGACAGTGTCACACAGTATTTTGATTTGAGGTAATTTTCCACTAATTTTCTTTTTTTAGAATTTTCATTAGGAGCCACAGGCCATAACTGAATAATATGGTTAGGCAGTGAACCCAACAATAATGGAAATCTTCATTTTGATTCGTGAGGAAAAAATATCCAAGAGGCTAGGGGACTGAAAACCTTAATTACACCCCCCACCCCATTTTGTTAAATTTACAGCAATTCTGAATTGATAAGAAAATTGATACATTTAATAACCATGGCATACTGTGAGATACTTGACAACAGGGGATTAACAGCACAATTCAAATCATGAAAACCAATAAAATCTGTGTACATTAAGGATAAATTTGGAGGAAATCTAGCTAGGCAAGTCTCTTTCCTGCATCTGATAAGGAAAGCACAGAACTTAATGCACTGTTTGAAGGTGATGACCTTCAGCAGGCCTTAACCTTGCAGGGCCAGGATAACAGCAGCATGTGCACTGACTGCCACCTCCTGGGCTCGACCTGCCAAAGTCTGTGCTTAAAAACATGGTTTTGTTAATTCTACTCATTCCAAATACATAAAATACAACTCTGTTCACCTAGAACATTATGGAAAAGTCATAATCATAGTGGTGAATATTTTGATAAAGAAGGGGATGAATACACGGAATTTTAAAAGGAGCAGAGCCAGAATAATCTGTACCAGGAAATATTAACTTCCTCCTCTAAAATCCCCTTGTTCCAAAGTTTTCTGGGAGTGAAAATTGTTTCCCCCAGTTATTCCACTCCATTGGTTTCCTCTGTCTCCTTTACAGGCACTTAGGTTTTCTTATAGTTATGTCTAAACTACCATTAATTCTAGAAGCAACAAATCCTGATGAAGAAAAAGTTCCTGTCTGTACTGAGTTCTTTCAAACCATCAGGTGAGGTGAGAACATGGCAGTGCCATGGGTATTCGTGGTTGCCACAATCTAGAACACCTTCCACCACACAACACATGCTCAGCAGCACACAACAATGTCATCCCTAATGCAAATCCAGGCAGGCCCAGCTCCTGCATTTTAATCTCTTCCTGTTTTTGAATAGCTTGGGAAAGCAGGGAGACTTGTTCTCAGATAAATGAAAGCAAAAAATAGCTCAAAGCAATCTCTGCTGCTTCTGGGAGTACTTCAACATATAAAAACACTGCTTTGACTCTGAAGGAGATTTTTAGTAAACATCAAAGTAGTAACTTACTCTCAAATATTTAAGGTAAGTCAGACAACACACCAATTGTCACTTAAGGAAAAGCAAAAAGCTTGAACCGAACATCACTAACTGAAAATGTTTTGTAACTTGAAGACAAACACTGACTCTCATTTGTCCCCACTAAAGACAAAAGAATACATTTATTTTTGCAGTATATTCCGATCTAACCTTGTACAAGCTGGCAGAAACAACCATGCCACTCAGGTGTACATTTTGTTGAGATGAAACACTTACTGTACATTTCTAGGTTTTGACCAGGCCATGTTCTGCGTCTCCTTCAAGCCAAGTCGCAAACCATTCAGTGCACCAAATGCTGCCCCTAGTTAGCATAATGTCAGTTAGTATTTTTAAGAAGAAAAAGGAGCATAAAGATCCCCCAAACAGTACAAGAAGTGAACACTGGGAATAGACTTCACTCTACAGACTGAAGTCAAATACCTGTTCATGTAAGACTAGAACAGTCAGTAGCTTACAGAACAAGACATTTACAATCTCATCAATTGCTGCAGTCCATAGGGGCTACTTGGACAGCTGGGAAAGTGAAAATCATAACCACCTACCTGTCATACAACATCCTCCAATGGTAAAAAAGGCCAGCTCAAATCTGCCTCGGGTTTTGTTGGCTCCTGTGGGCAAGATAAACTCATCTGTATCCTGGGGAAAAACAAAACAAACAGATGCTTTGTATTTTCCAAGTGCACCTGTTTCAAATTGTAGGCAATAGTCATTTCTTTTCTTTAACCCATGCAATGCACTAAAGCTGGCTAAGAGTGTTTCTGGAAAATCCCTGTCTACACTAGCACAGAGATGGATTATGCATATGCTTTATTAAAAAAAGATAAACTGTCCAAGAGCTTTTTTCCCTATAGCTGTCCTATCTTGTTATAAATTACATCAGCCACCCAAGGAACTCATACTGTGTGGGTTGCTGGTTGGTTTTGGTTTTAATTACTATTTGCTTAATTATTTATTACATCTTGCAGCAGGCAATACAAGCCCTCCAAAACCCCTCCCGTTGTCTGGCTATGCAGGACTGTTTCCTCACTGAGCAACCTATACTGATGCAACAATACATTAATTAAGCTTTCCCACTACACTGACACTAAAGAAAAACTGCCTTTGTACCAAAAGAAGTATTTCCTTGCACTGAGGTAAGTGAGCCATTTTGAAGATGTGAAAAAAGGAAGGAATACACTCAAAACTAGAGATGATCAGGCATGAGATATATGAGGGTGATAGCTTTTCTCCCCCAGAGAAAGGCCTGTGTTCCTGTAAATTAGTGCTGCCTGAAAAGCTAGAGAAACGGCCTAGAGAAACTACGTAAGTGTAGAGATAAGGTGGGCCAAAGCACTTCTTCAGTATGAGACCCTGACGAGATGCATGTGTGTGGATAAGGTGCTAAAGCAGCAACACCTCTTTCTGGGCTTCTGTGCTTTCCAGTCACAGTATTACCCACCCCCTATTAAACTGACATATGACTGCAACAACTGCAGGCTCAAGGAATTGCATTCTAAGGGGGTTTACTGGCCCATACTCAACACTAAGTGTGGATGGCAATACAGAAAAAAATAGCTTCTAAAAGTGTGAATACTCTATCAATAAACTGAACCTGTAATATGGTTTCTATCCTCCTTGTAACTAGAGTTGGAGAAATTTAGTGTATACACTGGATAGCAGTTTATAACAGCTTTCACTACTGCCCCGGAAGTCAAGATGAAGCAATTCTTGTCTGCATGTAACCTCCATGTTTCTACAGAGACCACAACATAGGAAGTCCATCTTCTAGGTTTCTGACCAAGGCTGGCATGCTATTTTACAATGCATGTTACCTGCAATGAAGCACTGCAGAAAACACACTGCTCCATGCCTGCATTAATGGACTAACCAAGAAAGCAGGTTTTAAGTAATGAGTACCCTTGTATTACTGGTTATTATGGAAGAGGCAGAATCCAAATGTGAGACTCTCAACCTCAATGTTGACTTCCCCTCACCCTTGTACCACTGGTTATTATGGGAAAGCCAGAATCCAAATGTGATACTCTCAACCTCAATGTTGACTTCCCCTCTGCCTTCTGAGAGCAAATGGATGGTCTCTAAACACAGGAGACCCTCACCTCTCCACATACACCTTCACACACAAACCAGTTTTTAAAGCTAATAATTTAAGTCTTATATTCTAAAATATTACCCACATCTTTTTCCTGGAATACACTCCCAGGGGCCTGTGGAGACTCCTTAGTGCAAACTCCATTGCTAAAACCAGGGTCAGCTCGTGCTAGGTGCTCAGGGCCATTTCCAACTCTTGTGCTTCTCTAAGGATGGAGATCCCACAGCTTCTCAGGGAAATTTGTTGAGGTAAAAACCAAATTTCTCACATTTAAAGGGAATTCTCTTTTATTTTAATGTACCACTAGTGCTAAACATAGAGCAGTAAAGTGTTACAACACAGACTGCAGCGTGTAACACTAGAGTGTTATGCCAATCGGTATTTTTAGCACTGTATCATGACACTAACACCAACACCTCCTTTTAAAGCAAACTTTTGTTTTTAAAATCGATTAATATACACACACTTTGTTCCAAAACCACTGTGATACTATTTATAGCACCAAGATATTCTCTGCACTAACTGAACAAGACAACTTCAGAAGAATGTTTTTGGAAGAGGTCTAAATAATCTC